CTATATTTATTTTAGGAAGATTTATTTTTTTTAGGATTTTAGATTTTTGAATCAATTTGAAATTAGTCTATAAAAGGGTGCTTACGACCCTTGTTCTAGGAGTTGAATTTTGTTATTTGATAATTAGAAATTGAGAACCGGAGGGTTACTCTTTTGTGAAAATCCTAACTTTCTGTTTAGCCACTTTTCTATTCGCTTTCCGTTGGCCCATTGTACATGGCCCAACCATTGATTCAAGAAGCTTGTAGTCGACTAGAGTTATGGCCCAATAAGTATGACCCAATCGTTGAAAAAGGCAATAATTTGAAATATAACAAATTACAATCGAATCCAAGTCCCAATAAAGCCACATATATGATTGTGATTTATTTGGGAAGAAAAGGAAAGCAACACATCTGGCGTGATTTGAGATTAAAAATTTGCTCAATTATTGAAAGAGGCAATGATTTAAAATATAACAAATTACAATTGAATCCAAGTCTCAATAAAGCAGCATATGTGATTGTGATTTGTTTGGGAAGAAAAGGAAAGCAACACATTTGGTGTGATTTGAGATCTAAGATTTCGGATGTGTTTTGAATAATTTAATTGTAATTATTTATTTAATTTTAGAGGTTAATTACTACTATATTTATTTTAGGAAGATTTATTTTTTTTAGGATTTTAGATTTTTGAATCAATTTGAAATTAGTCTATAAAAGGGTGCTTACGACCCTTGTTCTAGGAGTTGAATTTTGTTATTTGATAATTAGAAATTGAGAACCGGAGGGTTACTCTTTTGTGAAAATCCTAACTTTCTGTTTAGCCACTTTTCTATTCGCTTTCCGTTGGCCCATTGTACATGGCCCAACCATTGATTCAAGAAGCTTGTAGTCGACTAGAGTTATGGCCCAATAAGTATGACCCAATTGTTGAAAAAGGCAATAATTTGAAATATAACAAATTACAATCGAATCCAAGTCCCAATAAAGCCACATATATGATTGTGATTTATTTGGGAAGAAAAGGAAAGCAACACATCTGGCGTGATTTGAGATTAAAAATTTGCTCAATTATTGAAAGAGGCAGTGATTTGAAATATAACAAATTACAATTGAATCCAAGTCTCAATAAAGCAGCATATGTGATTGTGATTTGTTTGGGAAGAAAAGGAAAGCAACACATTTGGTGTGATTTGAGATCTAAGATTTCGGATGTGTTTTGAATAATTTAATTGTAATTATTTATTTAATTTTAGAGGTTAATTACTACTATATTTATTTTAGGAAGATTTATTTTTTTTAGGATTTTAGATTTTTGAATCAATTTGAAATTAGTCTATAAAAGGGTGCTTACGACCCTTGTTCTAGGAGTTGAATTTTGTTATTTGATAATTAGAAATTGAGAACCGGAGGGTTACTCTTTTGTGAAAATCCTAACTTTCTGTTTAGCCACTTTTCTATTCGCTTTCCGTTGGCCCATTGTACATGGCCCAACCATTGATTCAAGAAGCTTGTAGTCGACTAGAGTTATGGCCCAATAAGTATGACCCAATCGTTGAAAAAGGCAATAATTTGAAATATAACAAATTACAATCGAATCCAAGTCCCAATAAAGCCACATATATGATTGTGATTTATTTGGGAAGAAAAGGAAAGCAACACATCTGGCGTGATTTGAGATTAAAAATTTGCTCAATTATTGAAAGAGGCAATGATTTAAAATATAACAAATTACAATTGAATCCAAGTCTCAATAAAGCAGCATATGTGATTGTGATTTGTTTGGGAAGAAAAGGAAAGCAACACATTTGGTGTGATTTGAGATCTAAGATTTCGGATGTGTTTTGAATAATTTAATTGTAATTATTTATTTAATTTTAGAGGTTAATTACTACTATATTTATTTTAGGAAGATTTATTTTTTTTAGGATTTTAGATTTTTGAATCAATTTGAAATTAGTCTATAAAAGGGTGCTTACGACCCTTGTTCTAGGAGTTGAATTTTGTTATTTGATAATTAGAAATTGAGAACCGGAGGGTTACTCTTTTGTGAAAATCCTAACTTTCTGTTTAGCCACTTTTCTATTCGCTTTCCGTTGGCCCATTGTACATGGCCCAACCATTGATTCAAGAAGCTTGTAGTCGACTAGAGTTATGGCCCAATAAGTATGACCCAATTGTTGAAAAAGGCAATAATTTGAAATATAACAAATTACAATCGAATCCAAGTCCCAATAAAGCCACATATATGATTGTGATTTATTTGGGAAGAAAAGGAAAGCAACACATCTGGCGTGATTTGAGATTAAAAATTTGCTCAATTATTGAAAGAGGCAGTGATTTGAAATATAACAAATTACAATTGAATCCAAGTCTCAATAAAGCAGCATATGTGATTGTGATTTGTTTGGGAAGAAAAGGAAAGCAACACATTTGGTGTGATTTGAGATCTAAGATTTCGGATGTGTTTTGAATAATTTAATTGTAATTATTTATTTAATTTTAGAGGTTAATTACTACTATATTTATTTTAGGAAGATTTATTTTTTTTAGGATTTTAGATTTTTGAATCAATTTGAAATTAGTCTATAAAAGGGTGCTTACGACCCTTGTTCTAGGAGTTGAATTTTGTTATTTGATAATTAGAAATTGAGAACCGGAGGGTTACTCTTTTGTGAAAATCCTAACTTTCTGTTTAGCCACTTTTCTATTCGCTTTCCGTTGGCCCATTGTACATGGCCCAACCATTGATTCAAGAAGCTTGTAGTCGACTAGAGTTATGGCCCAATAAGTATGACCCAATCGTTGAAAAAGGCAATAATTTGAAATATAACAAATTACAATCGAATCCAAGTCCCAATAAAGCCACATATATGATTGTGATTTATTTGGGAAGAAAAGGAAAGCAACACATCTGGCGTGATTTGAGATTAAAAATTTGCTCAATTATTGAAAGAGGCAATGATTTAAAATATAACAAATTACAATTGAATCCAAGTCTCAATAAAGCAGCATATGTGATTGTGATTTGTTTGGGAAGAAAAGGAAAGCAACACATTTGGTGTGATTTGAGATCTAAGATTTCGGATGTGTTTTGAATAATTTAATTGTAATTATTTATTTAATTTTAGAGGTTAATTACTACTATATTTATTTTAGGAAGATTTATTTTTTTTAGGATTTTAGATTTTTGAATCAATTTGAAATTAGTCTATAAAAGGGTGCTTACGACCCTTGTTCTAGGAGTTGAATTTTGTTATTTGATAATTAGAAATTGAGAACCGGAGGGTTACTCTTTTGTGAAAATCCTAACTTTCTGTTTAGCCACTTTTCTATTCGCTTTCCGTTGGCCCATTGTACATGGCCCAACCATTGATTCAAGAAGCTTGTAGTCGACTAGAGTTATGGCCCAATAAGTATGACCCAATTGTTGAAAAAGGCAATAATTTGAAATATAACAAATTACAATCGAATCCAAGTCCCAATAAAGCCACATATATGATTGTGATTTATTTGGGAAGAAAAGGAAAGCAACACATCTGGCGTGATTTGAGATTAAAAATTTGCTCAATTATTGAAAGAGGCAGTGATTTGAAATATAACAAATTACAATTGAATCCAAGTCTCAATAAAGCAGCATATGTGATTGTGATTTGTTTGGGAAGAAAAGGAAAGCAACACATTTGGTGTGATTTGAGATCTAAGATTTCGGATGTGTTTTGAATAATTTAATTGTAATTATTTATTTAATTTTAGAGGTTAATTACTACTATATTTATTTTAGGAAGTTTTATTTTTTTTAGGATTTTAGATTTTTGAATCAATTTGTAATTAGTCTATAAAAGGGTGCTTATGACCCTTATTCTAGGAGTTGAATTTTGTTATTTGATAATTAGAAATTGAGAACCGGAGGGTTACTCTTTTGTGAAAATCCTAACTTTCTGTTTAGCCACTTTTCTATTCGCTTTCCGTTGGCCCATTGTACATGGCTCAACCATTGATTCAAGAAGCTTGTAGTCGACTAGAGTTATGGCCCAATAAGTATGACCCAATTGTTGAAAAAGGCAATAATTTGAAATATAACAAATTACAATCGAATCCAAGTCCCAATAAAGCCACATATATGACCCAAGTCACAAACATCCACAAGCTGCATCTTCAGAAGATTCTGATGAGCTTTTAAAATCTTAAGCCTCATCTGGTCATCTCATAACATGACCAAACCACGTTAGACGAGTTTATATCATATTCTCCATGGCAGGTGCTACTCCAACTTTTTCACTAACACGTCCATTCCTAATCTTATCTTTCCTTGTATGTTCAATCATCCACCTCAGCATTCTCATCACTGCTACACTCTTTTGCTTTTGTCATTATTTCACTGCCAAAATTTCACTCCTGCCATAGAACATCACCGGCCTTATAATTTGTCTGGTACAACTTGATGAACAAGAATTTTCCCTTGTGTTTGATATGCACCTTTTTTATCACAAAGTACACCTAAAGCATTTCTCTATTTCATTCACCCAGCTCAAATCGTAAACGCTATTCCTTTAATCGCCCCCATCACTTTGCAAGGTAGGTCCATGATACCTAAATTTCCAACTTTTAGCACAATGAGATACCTGAATTTCACCTCTAAAAATTTCCAACTCATTTCCCATTTAATCCATCTTACTCCTAGTTAATTAAAAACACTCTGATCACAAAGTTTCTGTCCAAAACTCAACTTCACAGTTTAATTCTCCATTCCTATCATCAACTAGGACAATATAACCCCAAAAAGAGAGAGACTAGCTCTTGGATTTACTAGTGCATGAATTATTTAACCAATCAAACATTGCTTAAAAAAAACAACACACACACACACTAGCCATATCATTGGGTTTATCCAGCAATATAAAGAAATTACAACAACCGACCATACCTACTAAAAATCAATAGCGAACAAGTGTTTCCATTATATTAAATTTCCCTAAATAATAATAATAACAAATGCATGAAGCAGAAAAACCGAACCATCGTAATGAGGCGGAGGGGGGCCTCCGGGACCGGGGTGGTGAAACTCAGGGGCAAGGTTCGTGGACGAAGCAGAAGGCTGGCGCATCATCGGCGGCGGCTGCGGCGGCGGTCCACGGTGAAATTCCGGACCTGGCTGCTGATGGTGGAAATGCGGCTGCTGCTGCTGCTGCTGCTGTTGCTGCTGTTGGTACTGGTGCTGGTGCTGATGCTGGTGCTGGTGGTTATGAGGATCATTGTACATCATTGTGACTCGGATTGGTAGAAAGTGCAAAGTCTGGGAATAAGAGACAAATGGAGATTTGGAAATGGAGAGAATAGGAGGGAGAAAAACCCTAAAACCCCTAATTTTGGTGGGGATTGGGAAAGAGAGAACCAAGAATGCGGAGCGGGAAAGAGAGAGAGAAAGATGGGATAAAACTGTAGACGACGGCGTTTTAATTAAAGTATGTGTTAGTACAGTTTGTTTAACAAAACTTTATAATGATTAGATAAGTTTATCAAAAAAATTAAAATAGAAACTTCAAATAAAAAAAAATTGTACAAAATGTTTTATTATTTTTTAAAAGTACAAAAATATTACTTTGTAAATTTAAAAAAAAAAAAAACTGCATATTGTTAAAGAAATGAAGTTAAAACAAACACACCCTTAATTGAGTGATTAAAAACGATGAAGATATATGTCATGCTTAATTTATTGACTAAATATTGCTTTTGATATAATAAAAAAATATGCCCACCAAAATATATATATATATATATATATATATATATATATATATATATATATATATATATAAGTGGCTATAACTGTTTTTGTCATGACTTTTATACATAATAATTAATATGTTTATTACTATATTTGATTCGATAATTTTTTAAAATCTAATTAAATTTTGTCAAACATAATGAAAAATACTAAAAGTCGTAACTTTTTTGTCAAATTTTTCATATAAAATAATTTAGTATATTTGTTGACTTTTAAATGAATGAGTAATTTCAGCTACTTTTTTATTTTATTTGGTGAAATCTACTACTTTATTTTATCTAGTAATCATCTTTAAATTTAATTGAATCCTGTCAAGATTCCTTTTTTTTCTATTTATGGATCGCAGCTACTTATTATTATTGTCTTTATAACGAAAAGATTTTGTTAATGAGTGCCTTAAAAAATAAAAACTATTAAATGCAAAGTTTAAGCATAGTAAATAGCATGTTAGACCTTTGAATGGGTATATTTAAAAAAGGATGATAAAGGTGATTAAGAAAAAATAAACAAAAAATATATAAAAGAGAAATATAAAAAAATTATGAGGCCAGGAGAAAATAACGTGAGTCATGATGTAGAAAAGGATCTTGACATCAATGATAATCACCTTAACATCGAACTTTGTACATTGACTAAGTCATAATAAATGTAACATGAGCATGTTACATACGGCACAATTTTATCAACGGTATCAAAATCAAAACCAAACATATAAGCCCAAACAGTGGAAGCTATTACAATGTCAATACTACACACCATAGATATCATATCTCCGTGAATGTAACAGATCCATGTAGAAGTCCTTCTCCATCACCTCTGAATATAGATAAGATATCTCTATAAATATCCATAAGTGAATACAGTCTAATAAAGATACAATATTGACGCCCTCGCTTATGTAAAATGCATAATCCAAATACTTTGACGCCACAATGATCAGAGGAAGAAAATTAAAGATGAATTGGCTTGTCTCGGATTGATTATTACCAAACAAATAGTTGTATGACATATTCACATTCCTAGCATCAACCGAAGTAGAGAATGAACTTCTACGTAGATCATGGTGATTTTTAGTATGACTCTTATTAGCTGGGCATTCTCGTGAGCATTTATTAGATATCATTGTAAATAGTAGTTTAGAAGTCTCTTTGCAATTTCTCTTCTTTCGGTTATATAATAGAATCTCCATTATGTAATTGAAACACACAGATTAGTCACAAAAATCTCTTATTCTGATATTTAACACGATATCTAGAGTCTAACGAGAATAATAATAATCCACGTCTTTCTGGTGGACCCCATTGTCTGCCGAGTAAAATTCTACACCGAAAATTGTGACGTTTGTCAATTTTTGCATTAGTGTTCTGATCAAAAAGTACGTTGACGGAATCAGAAGGAGTCGATCTACTAAATGCCGCAAGACCCATAATCATCGGAGGCTGCACGTACCGATAAACCACAATTTTGACCATTGTTGACCACCACCTACGACCACTTTTCGGGCAATTTTTTTGGCAAGCCACCCACGGTTGTGATCGTCGCAGCGAGGCGAGTCTCTACATTAAGGGCCCACTCCCAGATTCATTCTCACGCGCATGAAACAGCCACACTTCGTCGGTGCATGCAGAATTTTTCGACTGTCGTTTGCCGCCGACCAGGGACAAACGAGGTCGCCCAGACGTCTTCTCTCCATACCTTCCTTCACTTCATTCAATGGATATCATTTGGGCAACGCACCAAGTAGCTTTGTGTTTGCTTCTCGGAACAACACCGCCAGTGTTGCTGTCAGATCTGTTCATGCTTTCCTAATCTGACAATGTTTTCCTGTTCACAGTTTGATTCACCATCAGTTTCAGCGCTGCAAGGTTTGATACGTCCATGTTCTCATTTCTGCTTACATTTTGTTTTGTGGGTGCCACCATCATCGTCAGATTAGATCTATGCACGCTTATCGTCATCGGTCGATCTTGCTACTGTGTGACACTGAGGTTCCTTATGACTTTGATTTTTTATTTATTTTGCTAGTGCTTTATTCTATTTTTTGAATCATGGATGATTCTAGCTCGTTTCCTCAATATGTTTCTCGGCCCACTATCCCCGATTCCAAAGCTATTGTTGTGCATACAAGTAATACCTTTGTTGGTTTCACTCAAAATTCATCCTTTGGTCATTGGGTTCTTGATTCCAGTGCCTCTGATCATATTTCTGGTAATAAGTCTTTGTTCTCCTCTCTTTCCAACTCTAGTTATTTTCCTATTGTTACTATGGCTAATGGTTCCCAAGTTCAGTCGTATAGGATTGGAACAATATATCTTTTTCCCTCTCATACTATTGATAATGTGCTTTATGTCCCTAGTTCACTCTTTAATCTCCTTTCCATTAGTCGTTTAATACATTCTTTTGATTGTTTCATTTCTTTTACCAAAAATTCTGTTATTTTATAGAATCAGAGTTCAGGGAGGACAATTGGCGACAGATTTGAGTCCAATGGCCTTTACATACTCTCTAGCTCCTCTCATAATCATTTTGTATGAGATTCTCCACTCACTGTTCATGCTCAGTTGGATCATCCTAGTCTTACAAAGCTCCAGAAGAAGGTCCACTTTGCAATGTAAATCATGTCAATTCGGGAAACATACTAGCAGTTCTTTTCCTGATAAAGTCATTGGTCATGCCTCATATCCTTTTAGTTTGGTTCACTCTAATGTTCGGGGACCCAGTCGTACTGAATCAACTCGGGGGTATAGATATTTTGTCACCTTTATTGACGACTATTCTCGGAGCATCTGGTTATTTTTACTGAAAAACCGCTTTGAGTTGTTTTTCATATTTCAAAGGTTTTATCATGAAATTCTTACTCAATTTGGTATTCATATCCGCACTTTTCATAGTGATAATGCTCGTGAGTATCTATATCAGCCATTTTAATCATTTATTGCCTTTCACGACATTCTTCACCATACGTCATGTACGCACACCCCCCAACAAAATGAGGTTGTTGAAAGAAAAAATCGTCATCTTATTGAAACAACTCGTACACTCTTAATTCATGGGAATTCTCCTTCTATTTTTTGGGCTGATGTTGTCCTCATTGTATACTATCTCATTAATTGCATGCCCTCCTCTATCCTCGATAACCAGGTACCGTGCTTTATCTTATTTCTCCATCAGCTTTTATATTTCTTACCCCTTCGTATTTTTGGTTCTACTTATTTTCTCCATGAACTCGGCCCCAATCGTGACAAGTTGTCTTCTAAGTCCCACAAATATATGTTCGTTGGTTACACTCGAACACAAAAATATTATAGGTGTTACTCTCCCAGCCTCTGTCGCTTTTTTGTCTCGATGGTCGTTACTTTCTTTAAGTCTGTGCCATTTTTTGGCTCCGCCTCCGTTCTTGGTGACTCTGTTGATACTCAGTTTCCTTTACTTTCTTTTTCAGTTGAATATGTCATGGCACCATATCCCCCACCACCATCGCCTATGGTCACTTCTCCATATGTCCCGATACTAGATCCCTCTCTCTAGGTTTATCACCGTCGGCCATGTCCGCCCATGCCCCAAGACACTAACTATATTGTTAATGAGGTTCCTATGGACTCAATTCTACCATCATCAAGGCATTACTCGGGTAAAACAACATCTCTATCATCATTTTTAGACAAAAGATCTCGAAAGACTTAAATATTTCTTTGGAATTGAAGTTTTCCAATCCAAGGATGATATTGTGATATCCCAGAGGAAATATGCTATGGACATTTTTGAGGAGACAACTCTATTAAATGCTAAGTCTGTCGATACCCCTATGGATCCAATAGTCAAGCTTATGTCAAATTCTCCTTATGAAGATCATTGAAATGTAGTGATTCATATTCTCGAGTACATCAAGACTGCTCCTAGTAAAGGTCTCCTCTATAAAAACAAAGGTCATACAAAAGTTATGGAATGCTCAGATGTTGATTGGGCAAGTTCCTCCATTGATAGAAGATCCCTCTCTTTGTATTATGTATTCATTGGAGGTCATTTGGTTTCCTGAAAAAGCAAGAAACATAATGTAGTTGTTAGATCAAGCGCTGAAGCAGAATATCACTCTATGACCATAGCCACCCGAGAACTTATCTAGTTAAAACAACTACTAAAGGAACTCAAGTTTGGAAACATTGGCCCAACATCTCTCATTTGTGATAATCAAACTGCTTTGTATATTGCTTCCAATCCAATGTTTCATGAAAGGACCAAGCATATTGAGATAGATTATCATTTTGTTAGGAAAAAAACCCTCTCAGGAGATATAGTCACTAGGGGTGTTCATCAACCGATCCAAACTGATTCAAACCGCAGTGACCGAACCGAAAAACTGAAAACCGAATAAACTGAAAAACTAAAAACTGAAAAAATACTGCAAAATTTAATTGGATTGGATCGGATTTCGGATTGGTTGATGAAAACCGATACAATCCAAACCGATCCAATATATTAATTCTCCTCTACCTACTTGGGCATTTTCCCAATCATAGCACAAAAATTTCTAAACCCAAGGCCGATTAACCCATCAACCAAACCCATGAAAAAACATAGT